GGAGTACCAAATAACTCACCTCACAGGGCTAGGAGCTATAGGTCCACAAATATAAGGATCAGGTTATTTCTTCTTTTTTTTAAAGATTTTATTTATTTATTTGAGAGAGAGAGAGAGAGAGCAAGCAAGCACAGAGGAAGAGTGAGAGGGAGAAGCAGACTCCCTGCTGAGCAGAGAGCCCGATGAAGGGCTCGATCCCAGGACCCTGAGATCATGACCTGAGCCGAAAGCAGACGCTTAACCAACTGAGCCCCCCAGGTGCCCCTGGATCAGGTTATTTCTAAATACTGTTTCAAAAGCCCATGTGCCAGAGCTCCCCCTCATCCTCCTCCACTCTGCCTCCCACTGCCCTGCCCCCGCCCCTGCGTGTATCTACAAGAGACCAGATAAGTAGAGTCAGTCTACTTCCTCCTCTTGGAAATTATTTCCATTTATCATCCCTCACAGCTATTTCCTTACCCCACACCCAGAGAAAGCCAATATATTTGTATATTGATCAACCCACTTTTATATAATTTAGATGGTAGTGAGTTTACAAATGTTAATGGTTTCATGTTCACTTAGCATGTAGTTAGTTCAGGCTTTTGAATATAACCTATGATTATTAATATTATTTGTCAACTTGGCTAGGCTATGGCGCCCAGTTATTTGGTTGAACACCAGTCTAGATGTTGCTGGGATGGTATTTTTTTTTAGATGTGATTAACACTGAAATCAGCAGACTTTTGAGTAAGGCAGATTATCCTCCAGAATGTGGGTGGGCCTTGTCTAGTCAGTTGAAGGCCTTAGGAGCAGGGTCTGAAGTTTCTCAAAAAAGAAGGAACTCTCCTCAAGTCTGCAACACAGAGACTCTGCTGTTTCCAGCCCACTATCCTGCAGAATTCAGACTCAAGACCGCAACAACTCTTGCTTGAGTTTCTAGCCGGCTGGCCTGTCCTATAGATTTCAGACTTGCCAGCCCCTAAACCTGGGTGAGCCAATTCCAATTCCTTAAAATAATTTCTCTCTCTCTCTCTCTTGATCAAAGATAGATGGATAGCTCCTATTGCTCCTATTAGTTCTGTTTCTCTGGAGAACCCTGACTAGTACATAACCAAAGGACCCTTTTTTCGCAGGACATTCTTGCAACCATGTCTTTTTTAAAAGAAACCTATTAACTAGTTCTTCCCTATTTTAAGAACATTGTGTGTGGTGCAGATTACTGTTCTCTGTGACCCCATCGGAAAGATTGGGCATATCCATCACTGTCTTGGGAGTTGGGGTGTGATCCTGAGCTGGCGGGTCTATAGCTGGAGGATGACCAAGGTGTTGGCAAAGCCTCTGGGAAGAGGGAAGATGGATCCTAGGAACCAGGACCCAGCGCTGCTAATCTCAAGGGAGAGAGTTTCTCTCCCCATACTCATAACGAGTTCTGTTAACAAGAGGAAGTCGGTGAAGTACAAGGAGAAAAACCACCTTCTGAGGCCTCCTTGCATTTTGACAGTATGGCTTGCAGTTCTCAAACCAGTGTGGGAACTTGAGTGAGGGGGTGCAGCAGGGGGAGGGGAGGGTTCGAAGCCAATTTGTAGCTGGTATGTCATATTGCATATACTATCAGCCTACTTCTCTTTTTGAAGCCCAAACTTCAGGACAGTCTTGGTTCTGCCCTATGACCAAACTCTGTGTCAGAAGATGTTTCCAGCTTTTTAGTCAGAAAAATAGGACTATTTTATATTGCTTCTGTGATTATCTTCCTGTGTCCATGGTTTCCTTCATCTCTCCTTCCTAGACAGCTTGGCTGACCTCTTACCCTCTTCTTTGCCTTTCCAAATTATGACCTTCCCTTAATGCCCATCTCGAATTACACCTCTCAGAGCCACATTATGCCTTTGGTGGGCCTTAGGCACTGTTACTTTCCCGGGCTCTTTCCTTCATTAAAAAAAAAAATCCAAAACTGTATTTTACCTCTGCATTGGTAGGGAAAAAATATAATCCACACAGGAACATGATCATTTTTTTTTCTTTAGATGTTAAAAGAAATTCAAAGTTTCACGTGGGCCCTTTAAACTCCTGGGGGTCCTGGGCACTCTGCCTCCTGATGCGGGTGGGTACTAAGCCACCCCGGCTCCTCCTCTGTAAAGGTGCCTTATGCAGATGCCTCCCCTCTTAATTCACTAGCATGAACACACACTCTGGACATGGAAAAACTTAAATTCAAATCCCAGCTTCTTCACCTTCTAACTGGAAACCATACCAAGTGATTCAACCGTTTTATTTTTTTTTTTAAAGATTTTATTTATTTATTTGAGAGAGAGAGTGAGAGAGAGAGAGAACAAGCAAGGGGAGAGGGAGAGGGAGAAGCAGACTCCCCGCTGAGCAGGGAGCCCGATGCGGGGCTCGATCCCAGGACTGTGGGATCATGACCTGAGCCGAAGGCAGACACTTAACTGACTGAGCCACCCAGGCGCCCCTCAACCTTTCTAAACATCAGTGTCCTTCCTTGTGTAATCCCTGCCAGGGTAATATGAGGTAGTGCATACATAGGGCTTAGTACCCCGTCCATGGCAAATGCTCATGATAGGTAGCTATTCATATTTCTACATATGTTGGTCATTAATTACTTTGATTTACATGTTACACTATTATCTACCTCTTTACCTGTGTTTAACTCCCTTCTTAAACTAGAGGGCTGTGAGGAAGTTTTAGACCAGTGGTTCTCAAACTTAAGCGTGCACCAGAATTACCCATGTTAAAGCACAGATGGCTGGACCCCATCTCGATTTCTTGATTCAGGAAGAGTAAGGAGTAGGGTCAGTAATTTGCATTTCTAGCAAGCACCCAGGTGATTCTTTTTTTTTTTTTTGGAGATATTTTAATTTTTTTTTTTTTAAGATTTTATTTATTTGCGAGAGAGAGATTGAGAGACAGAGAGCACGAGAGGGAGGAGGGTCAGAGGGAGAAGCAGACTCCCCGCCGAGCAGGGAGCCCGATGCGGGACTCGATCCCGGGACTCCAGGATCATGACCTGGGCCGAAGGCAGTCGCTTAACCAACTGAGCCACCCAGGCGCCCAAGCACCCAGGTGATTCTGAGGCTGCAGGTTTTATTTAAAAAAAAAAAAATTTTTTTTTAAGTAATCTCTACTGCCAACGTGGGGCTTCAACTCCCAACCCCCAGATCAAGAGTCCCATGTTCTACCGACTGAGTCAGCCAGGCGCCCCGAGGCTGCTGGTTTTAGGACCCCGCTTAGAGAATCACTGTTTCCCACAACTCCCTACCCTCTCAAAATCTAGCACAGAGGGACCCTTTCAAATACAGTCAAGAGTAAATTATTTATGCAAAAGGTAATACAAATGCCAGCGGGAAAATATGCCCCCTCCCCTAATTGTGAGAAAATTTTCATTACTGCAGGGGCTGAGCAGAAAAATATGAGAAAGAAATCTTCCAGAAAGAAAGGGGGCTAGTGATACAATTGAACAGTCTCATCTGTCGAATTGCAGGGGCATGTGCAAAAATGCAGAGAAGAAGCCAAACAATGGCTCAGCCAACTAGAGGCTGCCTGAGTTCTGAGCTCAATCTATAACAATGTCAGAGGGGCTGCTGGGATCCATCTGCTACTCTCTTTCTGATAACGGATCTGGGGTCTCTCTGGAAGGAAATAGCTTGACAGGACGAAAGACAGATTAGGCCAACTGAAAAGGTCTGGATTTAGGAAGCTGACCTTGAATCTGAGCTTTTAACTCTTTATGGCACTTTACTAACCCTTGATATATTCCTGCTGTTCCTTCTTGTTTTCTTATTCCTTTCCTGGAGAAATGCAATTTGCGAAGACCAAAGCTCTCACGGACACATTCTGTTTGTACGCAAGTGAAGCTCGCACAAATGGGAGCTTGAGGAAGGCCTGAGGTCCTCCAGCCCAAGTCACCAATTTTATGGAGGAAGAAATGTAAGCCTAGGGTTAATCTCCAAATACATGGCCAGTAAGGGCAGAGCCAGGCTGGAATCCAGAGTCTTTGACTCATAGTGAGTATGTGGTATGCACAGTCTTTTATACTCCTGAAATGAGTAGGAAAAAGAGATCTTTTTTTTCCACGACATTTTAAAGAGGAAACATCATCTTCTTCTTGTCACAATTTGCCTTTTTGTCCCTGGGAGCAAGAGGGCTCCATCAGGACAAATGAAGAGAAACGAACAACCCTTCATGGTATCAACAGGGCCTGGGAAGCTCGAGAGCAGAGATGACATCCTGTTCCATGACATTCTGCCATATATCCCCTGGCTACCCAGAAACTCCATACAGAGCAGACTCTCAGACACCATGTGGGGAATGAATGAATGAATCCCTAGTTTGATGGTTGTTTGCCAATTTTTCAGCCAGTTGGGGAGTGAATGTTTCACGCGAAGATTTTGAGGCTCAGTTAGCCCTTATCGTAAGTGAGGTAGGACATAAAACCAGATTTGCCCTTTGCGTGAGATAGGCTGTGTGTCTGCTGGAAAAGCATGGACTCTGGAGGTGAAAACCTTCGAATTCCAGAGTGTTCACTCTGGTTACTTAATTCAAGGCACCCCCACCAGCATGTGGAAAGTAAAGGTAATAATGCCTACCACCTCAGGGTGGTTGTAAGTATTAAATGAGATGATGTGAGCAAACTGTTTGGCGCTCTATGAAAAAATGTTAGTGCCCTCCCTTCTCTGGTTCCAGCTGCCTGTTTAAGAGTAATATAGGGATTGAGTAGGTTGAGTACATGTAAGTATCGGAAGGGTAAGACAGACTCCGGATGGAAACCGAAGGGTTTTTGGTTTTGTTTTTTTGGCTGAAAATACACACAAATCGTCATTATCTTTATGGTTATCTAGCAGCTGCTTTTACGGATGGTACGCTTGGCCATACATAGAAGCAAAGCTCCCATCATCATCTAGTTATTCTTCATATTCCACAATCCCTCACCTTTTCCCCAGATTCTAACACAATATTTTTCAGGAAAAATAAATAAATAAATAAATCTAGCTTTATGCGCTTACCCGTTTGGCCTCGGTTTCCTTGTTCTGGGCTCCAGAAACTCTGTCTCCTCCTCCATTTCCGTTTCAAGGATCCTGTTTTTCTGAGAAGGCTGGGGTGGCAGCATTTCCCATTCATTGTCATGGGCGACAGCCTGTTGCAGAACTGCATCTGGGCCAGCCCTGCCTTGGCTCTTGCTCTTCCGGGGTTGGCTGCCCAGACCAGGGGCCTCTTCTAGTGCTAAAGATTCCACAGACTTCATTCCTCCTAGAACCTGCATTTGGGGACCTTGGCCCAAGCCACAAGCGGAGGTCAGCTCTACCACCTTGCCAGACCATCCAGGCCCCGAGTTCCTAGCTTCCAGTGACTGATGACCGACCTCACCATGGCCCAAGACCATCCAGCTCTGGTCTTGCCCAGGGCTCTCAAGAGAGGATCTCTTATCACCTTTGGGAGACATTCTCTCTACAGGATGAGAATCTTCTCTTTCATTTAAGGAGGCAGGCTGACAGGAATCTGGGAAGCCTGCTAGCTGAGTTCCTGGCAGCCCTGTTCCTTCAGAACCTGTGTGAAACTCTCCTAATTCACACATGTATTCTCTGGCTTCACTGGGCCCCGGAGTTGGGGGTGAATTTTCTTCATGGTTTACAAGTATGTAATCCATGTGTAGTGCATGGTGATCTTCATTCTTCTCCGTGTACACTACTTCCCTGTATTCTGGTGTTAGCTGCTCAGGCTCTTTGATAGGAATTACTTTTTCTTCTTCCAATTCTGATATTCCCTCGGTGGTACCTAGAAGTGGAAGATGAAGGCGAGAAGGGGCGAACAAGGCTGAATTAACACGTTATGTGATTTGTGATCTTTGCAAATGATCCATCTAAGGAGAGATAATTTAAGAATTTTTATTTATTTTTTTTTTTTTGGTGGAGCTGTTGTATTTTCTCAGGCACCCTCAAAGAGAGGTATTAATAAGCAGCAGACATTTACGGCTGTAATGCAGGACTTGGTGAAGCATGCATTGCAAATGCAGTTAGTTCCTCTTTTTTACCCACAACGGTAGGAAGAGCTCGGTTTACAAATATGTTAATGGCATGAAAGCAGCCGTTTCTGGGAGTGGGGGTGGGGTGGGGTGGGGGTGGGAGCGGTGGAGGACCCGGTTGTTTCTTACCATTTGGTGGTCCTACGTCTCCATCTGCTGGTGAATCTGAGTTATCTGTTTCTACTTCCCAGTCAATGTTTGATGGAGACAGCTCAAGGTTGGAGTCGGCTCCCTCTGGCAAAGAGACCGACTCAGAATCTTCATGAATATGCAGCACAACCAGCTGTCCGGGCTGGCTATTTTGGGTTCTTTCGTGCTTTTCCTTGCTCCTTTGATCAGGAAGGGCAGAAAGCAGTATCTCGGCTGCTTCGCTCCCCAGAGACTCATCCTCTGGAGACCCAGCCTCCTCCGTTGTTTTGACACCAGGAGTAGGTTCTGTGAGATAGGACAAGTCAAAGGGGGGTGTGTAAGGTGCCAGAGATCGCTTCAGAGCATCTTCTTCCAAGGGAGGGTCACCACCATAGAGAAAATGTTCAGGCTCTTTCATCAAATCTTCATCGATATTTTGGCCCATGACATCATATTCAAAATCACCCCACGAGGCTTCGGATGAACAGATGTCTTGCTTCCCTGTATCCCCATCAACTGGTGTTTCGGGATTGCCCTCTGATAATGTCAATTTACTCATGTCATCTATCGTTCCCGTGGATGTGTTAAGACCTGAGGCATCACTGAAACTGTGGTCAAAAGCAGCTTCGCTTACATCCAGACAAGTGTCTGAGGCTAGCAAGGCGTCATGACCAGGGGCAGAATTCTCACTAGCAAAAGGCTGCTCGTGGTCCAGCAAGGCTCCTACATCTGTCTGACTTTCCAGGGAAAAGCCCTCTGACATCAGCGAGCTGTTGCTGTCCATAGTTGGCTCTTGGAGAGTTACAAAAATACCGGTTCCCATGTTTTCAGTCATTGGGATTGTTCTGTCCACAAGCTGCAGAATTGGTGCTGTATCTGGGGAAACTCCGTTCTCGGATGCTTTGAAACCTGTGTTATTTCCACCATTGATTTCAGAAGGTTCAGGGGAACCTTTGTGAGAGGCAGGCTGAGATGAGCCCCTTGTGTTTGCTTGATCACTGATGGGAGGCAGTGGAATCACATCTTCAGAAGATAGTTCTGAATCGTATGGGACAAATTCCCGCCCAGGCTCTGGATTGGGTTCTTCATCCATCTTCGGCTCAGTGAGATATAACTCACCAGCTTCCGCTTCAGGTCCCACTCCAGCCTTGATGTGCAGCTCAGTCTCTTGCTTTACTTCATAATCATGACATATATCAGGGCTATTGGAAGCCTGAGAATTGCTGTCATGGTCACAGTGAGTCAGTATATCTGGATTCTCACCATCTGCTTTCAAACTGAAGGGCTGCTTAGCATCCATCCACAAGTCAGGCGAAGCTGAGGCCAGTTGCCCACCCTCTTGGAAGTTGCCATGTAAAATATCTGGAACAAATGTGCCTTGGGGGCCCTCACTAGGGGGAGAGACATCCCGTTCAGAGCTTGACTTCTTTATCAACTGGGTGGGAGAACTGACAGCGGGGAAATCTGAGGCAATGGTTGAATTCGTTATTTCACCGGGATATGATTTTCCTTCTTCCCACCAATTTGTTTCTTGGCACTGAACCGTCGAGACGTTAGATATCACACATCCATTTTCATCTGTGTGAGTATATGTTGGGTCTGGCTGATCCCAGACGGACAGCATTGTGTTCTGACACTGCTGCTTTGGGGTAGGTGTTTCTGAAGTCAGTTCTTGACCAGCAGAAGACATGAAGCTTTGCTCTCTGGAATCCTTTTCTTTAATTTGGTCCAATATTACCAGCTGGCTAAGCTGATCAGCTTCGGGGTCTGGGTGCCTTGGTTGAATGTTCCAAAGTTGCTCATGGGAGTTCTCATTGCTATCCAGGAAGGGGGACTGATGTTCCTCGGTGAAAGGATTGGTACATTGCGTTTCCATGGGTTTGGTATCACCCTGAACGGGCGCTCCCCGAGGACTTACGTTTTGGTACACTGAAGAACTCATCTCTAACACAGTACTTGAGCTAGGTAATTCCCTTTCAAATGCACTCTCATTTGGTTGTCCTCCTTGTAGAGAGGCATTCCACCACTCAGTGCTCTCGGCTGAGAAGCCAAGCATTTCCAATTTAGAATAATTCTCATTCTTCGATTCACTTTGGGGGGAGATTTGCCATGGGTTATCTCCTGTATTCGCTGTTTCCGGAGATCTCATCTCCTTATCCACTGCTGTGATCTGTAGTTCAGTCTCCTTTAGTGGCGAGAGAGTCCAGTGATCGGGACTGTTTTGTTGATTGTCACAGAACGCGGTTGACTTATTCTCTGTTGGTTCTGAACCGCCTCCATAGGCAGAAAATTCATCATTGGGATCAGCTGTGGCCAAGAACTTACTAGGTTCATTCAGTGCGTCCCAAGCCCCGGGTTCACTCTGAGCAGCTTGGCAAGTGCCCAGATGGACCTCTCTCTCCACTGACTCTTCATCGTCTATGCTGTCGTCGTTGGAACCTGAGCTTGTTGCAGAGAACCTGGCATCCTCTGGCTGCACAGTTTTAGAAATGTCATGGTCGTTTTTCTCCTGCTGGCTAACCACTAGATTTCCTTCTTGATAGGCATCGGAATATTCTGAATATTTGCCTGTTTCAGGGCTGGATAAAGAGGAAAAGGAATCGCCATCTATGGAGTCACTCCAAATCTCTAAAAATTTAGGAACCTTGTGATCTAAGCTCTTTTCCAACCTGTCCATTCTGGTTTTCTCCAGGTCCTTCATTTCAGCAATTACTTCTACTTGGCTGTCAGGAGTAGTTAGTGCAGATTCTTGGTGATTCTGTTGGCTCCAATCATCTTGATGCTGCTCCTGGTGCCCTGTATTGGGTCTCTGGTCCCAGGAAGGCAATGCAGCTGAAGAATCGTTTAGGCCAGGACTCGATGCACTGGAATGTGTATACTCACTAGAAATACTATCTCTGCGATAGTTTCCTGATGGAATAGCTCCTGGAAGGTTGTCTTCAGTACTCTCGACTTCAAGATTCTTAGTTATCTCAGAATTTGGTAAATTGACCTGCACGTCACTGTCTACAGAGGCATCCCAAATGTCCAGGCTTTGGGGACATTCATGGGGTGGCTCTTGGTTCACTCTCTCTGGCTCCAGAACGTTACATTTTTCAGTTTTCTCAAGATCCGTTTCAGGTAAAGATACAGTTTTTGTTAAATTCAGCCCACCTGAAATTTCAGTGGTTTCACCTGAATTTCTGTGATACATGAGGTGCTTTTCGCAGGTCTCTTGGGCCTGTGGGTCATTTGTGGACACCTCTGTGTGCCCATCACAGGGATCTGGATTGTAGGACCCCCTCTCATGCTCTAAAACCTCCTGGGGTTCCTCAGTCTGAGGACTAGAAGTGAGTGAAAGAGAGCTGACTTGGCCCGATTCATCGCAGATTTCTTGATGTTGAGATGCCACTGGGGAGGAGCATTCCCCACCACTTGGCCCTTTTCCAGAAATCCCCGAGGCTCTGTCTAGCATCTCCTCCTCACTGAGGCGCTCCCTTGCAACAGCTCCATGGGCTTCCTCCTCACCTTCGCTTTGTCCATAGCTAGGACCTTCCCATGGATCTGAGTGTGCAAAATGCCCTGGATTCTCAAGGGTGGTTGCCCAGGATGCTGCATCACTTGGCAGGGTTCCTCTGCCCGTGTTCTGCTTCTCGGGATCAAGTGCTCCTGACTCGTTGGCTCCAGAAGCTTCTAGCACCTCTGGGATAGAACCATCCTTACTTTTTTCTGATGAGTTGGGAGTTTCAGGAGGTGATTTGTGTTGTTCAGAATCTGTAACGTAGGATGGGCTTGGTAACATTAATGAAGACATGTCATTATCTCTCATGACGGAATCCCAAATATCATTCGCAATTAGCTGCCCACTTCCTTCATTCAGGCTGTGATATTCGTTGGCAGGAGGGTCCTTGCTCTGCTCCGGAGAGGCAGGGAGTTCCCAGTCTACCTGATTTGCTTCCTGATACTCCACACCCCATGGTTCCAGATGTCTCACGGAAAATCGGGTCTCAGGTTCGGGACCTTCAGCCATGTATCCTTGCGCCCGACCTTCGCTGGAGATCACCACACCAGCACTGCAGTCATCCCAGTCCAAATCGTTATCCATATCGGAGATGGTCGCAGTGGACTGCGTGTCCTCCAGAATCACCCTGTTCCACAAGTCGAGGCTGTCGGGGACCTCCTGGTGGGAGTTGGTGCTGCTGTGTAGAAGCGTGAGCTGACGGTTAGTTTCATTGTACAGCCGCATCATGCTGGGGTCGTCGTAACTGGACAGACTGCTTTCCCCGACGTCATCTTCCAGGGAGATGTTCTTATCATCGGGGGACTCCGTCTCGAGGAAATCTTTATCTGGGCTAGGAGTGACATTTATTTGAGAACTATTATCTGCATCAGGGGAACCCCACATTTCTAGGTTCCCGGGACCTGAGCTAATTCGATTCCTGGGTGGCTGCTCTGGGGACCCAGGAGGCATTTCAGTCTCCCCTGTGCCAGAGTTAGCATCTTTTGACTCCAAGCCTCCCTCTTGAGCAAATGGTTTGTTTTCTGTTTCTTTTTCATCTCCAGCAAATGTTGGCGAAGTGTAAGAGTCAGACGTGGAGTAGTTGGTATCTAAGGGGGAAGGCACTGAATCTTCCCCCATGTTGGATGCACTGTAATTGGAACATTTATATAAGAAGGAATCTTCCCAAGGTGCCAGGACATCTGACCCTCCTTTCTTGATACCCTCCTCAAAAAGGTTCCAGGAATCGACCTTTTCATACACCTTCCCCCTAACTTTTGGATCCACTAAACCATTCTGATTTTCCTGGGTTGGCTTAGAACTATTCCACGCGTGATCCAGATCAGAGCTGGGATTCCCAGATATAAGGATATCATCCCTGGGGGCGGGGTTCTTCTTGCCCCAGATTTCTTCATTATTTGCCTCGCTGGGTGAATTGTCTTCTGAAGGAAAAGAAAACCCACTTTTTGCCATGGCCCACTCGCTTGGGTCCCTCACAGAAGGTGTCTCACCACTGGTTGGGTGCAGATTCCAGGTATTTGCCAGAGCTTTGGCACCATCTTCTTTACCAAAGGCACTCCAGGCTGGGAATGACACCACAGCAGCTGGGTCACCATCTTCTGGGGGATTTCCCCACGGCTCCGGCATCGCTGTGGGAGAGCGATCAGAACGCCACAAGGCGGCAAAGTCTTCTATCAGGTGATTTGTTCCCTGGGGAGAAGCGTTTGGCAAATTCGATTTCTCCGGGGGCACATTCTGAAACTGCAAAGGGTCCTCATTCTGGTCTTGAATATCATTGCTGCCAAGCCCAGGCCGACCGAATTCAGACTCCCAGGGACTTGACTTTGGGAATTCGAGACTCTTTGGTTGAAATATAGAATCTGAGGCTCTCCTGTCCGCTGGGCTTGGCTTATGATCTTTCCACGACTCGGGGCTCTGGAAGACAGACTCCTGCTCACTGGAACTCCATGCATCTGCAATATTTTTAGAGTCGATTTCCAACCCCCCCCACCAGCTGCTGCACCTCGCACGGGTCTGTGGTGGCCCGATGTGACCTGTGTCTGTTGCTTTTTGGGTCACATTTTCCGGATAGAGTAGAGCTGGTTCTTCGGTAGATGGCGAGCTTTCTACAAAGCTATTCATAGGTGTTGATGGGACCCTCTTTCCAATATTTTTTAGCCTTTCTGGTGAAGGAGATTTATCTCGCACAAAACCTGTCAGGCTCAAATTTCTTTCAGAGTGATCCTGGGGACTTTCTTGTCTCTGACCAAACTCCTCATCAAATTCCATAAGGTTATCTTTGCCAGCCCCTGACAAAAGTGAACTGGATGAATAATTAGACATGTCCATCCCTATCCCACTGATTTCTTTAGGCCCTGTGGGGGGTTGCCCTTCCGATGAATCACTATTGGGGAAGAAGTCGTCTGCGGGAGAGTAGTCTGCAGAATGGGAAGATGGTTGGGATTGCCCAGAAGCCATGGGCGCTTGGTCAAAGTTGAAGAGATCAAAGGATTCACTGTGTTCTCTGGACTGGGCAAGCTCCTCTGTTATTGCTCCTTCAGGGATGGGACTATAGGAGTCAAACCCTGGGAGGAGGCTGTGGTGAGGCCCCGCACCTTCTCCCACTGGGCTGTCATCACTGAGGAAAACCGAGCTCTCCTTGGACGAACGGCTGCTCCTAATGGTGGCCAAGCCACTGTCTGGGCTGACGAGGTCTACGTTCCCGTCCACCTGAGCCTGGTTAGAATCGTTCAGATCTGGAGGGTTTTCTATGAAATTCACGGAGCTGGGTTGTGGCTCTATGTCAGAACCATACAACTCCATAATCCCGGAAGATCCCTGGGACAGTGGGGCGCTGCCTGCCACAGCTTCTGTTGAGGACGTTCGGCTGTTGGAGGCCATCTCTGGACACCTCCTGTTGATGACTTCCTTGACAAGAAGAACCACCTGATCACAGGTCACCAAAGGGTTCTCCTGCTGGTACACCAGAATCTCATCACAGCCACATTCAAAGGGCTCCAGCTCTAGGCAAGGGTTCTGGCATTCTTCCAGTTCACAGCAAATCTGTCAGGGAGGCACAAGGATTCATGTGAGCACTGAGGCACTCTGCTCTTTGCAGTTTGGCTTTCTTAATTTGCCTTAATATAAAATTAATCTGTGTGCATCAGTCTACAAAGAAGATCTCAAACAATGGAACACCGAGTAATGTAAGACACGGAAAGTCCCACTTAACATACCACCACCTCTTTCTACAATCCCATCGAACTGGCTTTTCTTTTAACTCAAAATCCAGCAGCTCAATGTTGTTTGCTCCTGAAAGTTACAGGTGAAGAGATCTAAAGCATTTTAATCCTTTCCTTGGCGTAATATAATATCATCTTCCAACAGGAGTGAAACTCAAGTTTGCAAAAAGCAGAGATAATGCTGGTTGCTGAGAACTGGCGGGCAGGGGGGGCGGGGATGAGTGTGGGCATGAGGGGAAACGGGGCGGGAGGAGGCACCCAGGACCTGCCTTTACCTCCGAAAGCCTCATAAGGCAAAGGAGAAAATAGGAAAGAGAAAGCTACCAGGGATGGAGCTTTCCAACAGCACGCGAGCCCCCACTGTCTCTTGCTGCCCCCCGGGAAGCATCAACATGGAGCTCAGAATAGACAAAGCTGCCCTCGGAGGTCAAGAGAATGTGTGACAACTGGTGTGAGGCCAGAACCGGGCCGCAGCTCTATGATTTTTAGGAAACGTCAGGGATATTTTGCCTACTGGGCTTTCAAAATGGCCCCACAGGATTCGTGGAGGTTATAGCAGCAACACTGAAAATAACTCCGAGCTCACATTAATAGTAATAATAATAATTAACATATATTGTTTCCGTATGCCAGGCACAGTTCTAAGGGTTTTATGTGCGGTATCTCCTTTAATCCTCATAATAATTCTGTACAAGGTAGGGATTCTTTATCCCCGTTCTGCGAGTGATGACACCGAGACACAGCAAGGTCAGATACCTTGACCAACGCCATGCAGGTGACACATGATGGAGCCACGCTGTGAATTCTGCAGAAGCTGGCCCTTAATCACCTAAGGTCACATGGACACAGACGGTTTCCTCTAGGGTAGTGTTGACCTTGTGTTGCTCAAGATTCAGAGGAACTGTCTCCCAGGTGATTGGGGAGGGGAGCATGGGGAAGAGGAGAGGTATGCAGAGCGGGCTCCAGGGCTTCTAATCCCTTCACCTGCTCTTCTACTTTTGTCTGTTTAAGATTAACCAATTTTTAAAGCTGCTTTGCTACTAAAAGCGATTTGAAAAACCACCATATTGGAGGCTTAGGAGATGTAAGTCGGTCCCTAGGAAACCAGTGACCAGACATAGAATTCAGTTTGGAAACCCAGTGCAGAGCAAAAACACTGAAAAAGCCACAGGTTGGTGATGCAATGCACAGGTGTGTGAGGGTCTGAAGGGGGGGTACAGAACACATCAGCAGCAGGAGCAGGGGCTCTTTCCTGTTTCACACTTGGACTTGAGAATGCACAGAGGAGTCCGTGAGTACCTACAGTCACATGCAATACAGCCAAGATGGGTCTCTTGGGGGACAGCAAGTGAGGATGTAGAATGAGAAAGGAGTCTCCTGAGACTTTGCCTGTAGCCACCTGCAGATAGACAGGTGTCTAATCCATTAGTGAGGAAAGACAGTGATGAAACTGCTTTGTGTTCATGTCGTCCATATTAAAATGAATCATGTAGGGGGCGCCTGGGTGGCTCAGTTGGTTAAGCGACTGCCTTCGGCTCAGGTCACAATCCTGGAGTCCCGGGATCGAGTCCCGCATCAGGCTCCCTGCTCAGCGGGGAGTCTGCTTCTCCCTCTGACCCTCCTCCCTCTCATGCTCTCTGTCTTTCATTCTCTCTCTCTCAAATAAATAAAATCTTAAAAAAAAAAAAATGAATCATGTAGGTTCTCATATTAGTTGTTAAATATACCTAGTTTGGTATAGCTGGTGCCCTATTTTGATTAATTGTGTCTACTTCTTATATTATTTCTAAAACGTTGGGTTAAAAAATTCAGTTATCAAGCAAGAGGAGCTAACTACCCAGTCAGAGTTATAGTACTTGGAGACAAGCCAATTTTGATCAAAGCATTAGATTACCAGTTACTAAACACTGGGCATCAAATAGGTATTTAGACAGGGACTGAGTTTTTTTTAGGTATAACCAAGTAGCAGTCCTCAAAGAAAATATCACCCCCAGGAGACCTTGCCTTTCTTTGGGTGAAAAAGATACACTCTTTCCCTCTATGGATTCGGTCTAGAAGACAAATAGATACGGGAATCTTTTAAAAGGCCCCATGTGGTCATCAGGATGGAAGGCACAGCACAGAGAATATAGTCAATGATATTCCTGTATTATGATGACAGATGGTAGGTAGCTACACTTGTGGGCATGGCATAACATACAGACTTGCTGAATCACGACATTCTATACCTGAAACTAATGTAACATTGAGTGTCCACTATACTTCAATACAAAATTAATTTAAAAATAAAATAAAAGGCCTTGTGTGTGTGTGTGTTGAGGGGGCGGTGAAGGGAGCCAAAAGGTACAAGTTTCCAGTTACAAAATAAATAAGTCCTGGGAATGTAATGTTACAGCATGGCGACTACAGTTAATAATACTGTACTATATATTTGAGAGTCGCTAAGAGAGTAGATCTTAAAAGTCCTTTTTTTCTGTAACTATGCATGGTGATGGATGTTAACTAGACTTACAGTGGTGATCACTTCACAATATGCACAAATATCAAGTCATTATGTTGTACCCCAGTAACTAATATAATGTTATATTCAATTACACCTCAGTTTTTTAAAAAGGACCAATATTTATCTCACTGCCAATTCTAATTAGGTGATTTTTGGGTGGCATAGCCTCAAAACTGAAAACTAAAACTCTGAGGCAAATATTTGAATATAGTTATATTATTTATATAATATATATTAAATAATATACAAATATTATATTTTATATAAGTATATTTTAATGTTTTATTATAATAAACAACAAATTAAATAAATAATATAGATATTATAATTTATATAAATAAATTTATATAAATAAAAATATTGAAATATAAATATGTACACACACAAACGGCCCAATGTACAAAATACCCCCAACATTTCTTAAAATTCACACTCTAGGACCTTATGTCTTGGGTCTGTTTCCTTGAGCCACCCATCCGTTCCCATGTCCCACCGCGTGTTGTGACAGCCAGCAGGTTAGGAAGCAGTCAAATGGGCCAGACCAAAGGAGATCTTTACCTGACTGCACAGCTCGAGGTTCTGGGAGTACACAGCGATCTGCCGTCTGGGCTGCTCTTCCTCCAGCAGGTAGCTGGCCAGGAGGATGAGGACATCAAAACCGAACTTGTCTGCAAATGCTTTCAAGTCAGTGCTGATACTGCCGTGAAACATACAGTCCTGAAATGACAACAGGCCAGTTGGTATTAATGCCAGACTCCCTCGCCTCGGGGAGTTGTGCCACAGATTTGTCCCGCGTTGTGATGTGTCGTGACAGCTCTTTATTATCAGAGGCAAGTGAAAGAAACACACAAGTTTGCAAACTTTCATGCTATGGCTTAAAATGTCCTTTGCTTGTTTGTTTTCCTAACCCAAGGAAGGAAGGAGTCTTGGCCATTATTTTTTATTTTTTAGAGAAAGAGAGAGAAAGTGAGTGTGCGTGAGCTGGAGGCGAAGAAGGGGAGGAGCGGGGGAGGAGGTACAGAGGGAGAGAGAGAGAGAGAATCCCAAGCAGACTCCTGGCTACGTGCAGAGCCCCCATGAGGCTCCATCTCACCCTGAGATCCTGACCTTAACTGAAACCAAGAGTCAGAGGCTTAACTGACTGAGCCACCCAGGCACCCCAGAAGTCTTGGCCATTATTAAGATAGTTTAGACAAGGACTAAATGTCTTAACAGTTCTTTCCTAAAATATTTATTTGAACGTTGACTTTGTAAAAAATACTTTTCCTTTTATTGTTCACAGGATTAGGAATAGCTCCTGACTATCATAACAACCTATCACTAGAAAAATAGGAGGAAGTTATTGTTCTTTTTTTTATAATTGTTTTCCAATGATTATTATAAAGCCAAAAAGAATCCCTAAGGATGAATCTAGCTAAATGCTTTTTATTCCGGTGTAGGAGTCCGGGAGATTTATGGAAGGCTATGATTTATCAGATCTTCCTGCTCTATGTGGTAGCTAAGAAAGAGTGAATCATTGTGGAAAAGGAGCCCACTACCACAAACCTGTGGCTCACATCATCTTCAAATATGTGCTGGCCTTTTTCAGTTTTGTTAACAGCAATGAGAACCACTTTGTTGGCATAGTTAGCTCTCTTTTTTAAAGAAATGAACTGAAGACCATACGTTAGCTCCTAGCATAATGTCTGGCATATACTAGTTGCTCAAAAAATGTTTTTGTTTTAAAGATTTTATTTATTTACTTGAGAGAGAGAGCGCAAGCGAGAGAGAGA